CGACGATTTTCGTCATTCTACGTAATACTATAGTCTGGACAATTAATCATAACACCCTAGTCTATGTATGAATAATAGACTAAATTATTGCTGCGTAATATGGAAATAAAAAGATCAAGAGATAATATATAATTAAATATATATTAAAATATATAATATATTTAATTATTTGTGTAAAAATCTTTATATCTTTATAACGCCGTGTTTGAATGTAATATGTTATTATAAATGTTATTATAAATGTGTGATATAGTATGTAGTAAGTATGAAATAATCCACGTTTTTAAAGTTAAGAAAATTATTATAATATCGGATATTTTTTCGCAATAAGAAAAACAACATTCTCTAAATTCTTTTGATCTAAAAATTCTCGCGGAGCCCCAGAAAAGACCGGAAGTCGGTTCACATTGGGTACTGATGCAAAACAGCCGTATTTCCGTTTCGCCAATCAGTTCTGACCATTCTCGCCCTTTGGTAATTTACATACAATTGGCTGATGGACACAAAAGATAGTGACAATTCAAAATTTTTGGCACGGAATATATATTACAATGTAAAATATATTGATATGCGTTATACGTCCCGCGAATTAAACGCATATTTTAATAATTATAACCGTTAACAGATTTTACGCGATATTCGCTTTCTCGCGCGTTGAAAACGTAAATGCGCGAGAGATTAATATCCAAAATTTAATTAACATAATAAAAGGAATATTGCGGAAATTCGATGAAATAATATAAATACGCGCAAGCAAACCTCTGCGAGACTCGACGCTAAACTAATTCATGCTGCAAAAAAATATGTATACGTACGTAATTTTGTTGATATTAATTTTCTACCATATAACTCGTTATATTATACAATATATATCAAATGCAGAATATTTGATCAGTAACATAGTACCCATATAATATGTCGAAAAATATATTGTTTAATCATATATAATTATTTATTCATTAACAAAGGAATGATTGTTTATATAATATCAATATTTTTCTCACCTTTTTATGCTGGTATAAATATTTCTATATTATTCATGTTTGATTTTATTTTAGTAAGATATTATTATTTAATGAAATGAATTCTTTCCTGCAAATGTTTTAATTTAAAAAAAAAAACATATATGTGTATGGAAAAATTCTAACTATAGTAAAATATCAATAATAATTTTATATATCTTATATGTAACAAGAATATATTTTATTGCATTATTTTTTTAATGATAGACTTTTTAGTTACTAAGTAAGATCTCTAAATTAAAAAATAATAATAAATTAGATGACAAAAATTGTTATTTAATTTATTTGAGAGATTTAGATAGAGACTTTGATAGATTTATAATAGTAAAATAGAAGAGAGAGAGTTGATGAATTTTACGACATTGATATCTTACAATATATTTTCTCTAAGAAAAAAGAAATTTCAAATTGGTTAAAACGTCTATTGAAATATAATGATATATAATATGCTTGTAACTTATGATCTGTAAATTATCGGTATACAAAGCAAACGTTGTTATCGACGATTAATCAAAGTTTATTTGCAAAAAGTATATCAAATGCAGGTAAGTTATCTGCACTTCGTAACATTTACCGACAGTGCTTACCACTCGAGAATCGACTAGCGCGCGATTTCCGTTAATTTGAAACTCCTCGCGACCATCATATATCAAGGGAAATTTTACGCTTGCGGGCCAGCCAATAAATGCAAAATATTTCAAATGACACATATATTACTTTAATATATATTAAATAATTATGTCACGAATATTATATATATTCGATATATACAAAGAACACAAAATCGAGAAGTACTCACTTTAAATTCCTATGACAAACAAGCCCAACGTAAAATGTTAGTACGAACGTGTCAGCCCACGATGAAATTCTCGACGTTCGGCTCCTGTTATCGATCCGATGCTTTAAATAAAGAAACTTTCAACTTACACGCTCGAAAGAGTCAGCTAACACGTGCGCGCGGTTGAAAATAGACGCGACGATACGTCAGCGACGATAGCCGCCGACTATTTTCGAACAACGACTTCTCGGCACTCCCGGACGACGAAGAATCGTGACTCCGCACACGCATCGCGACTAAAGAAGCGAACATCCGGCGGCCAGCTTGCTTCCTTTCGTTGCCGAATCGCGATACAACGCCAACGAGACGACGCCAATTCACGGTGGAAACTTCGTCCAAAAAGTGCCACTTTATACGTATGTAGAGAAATAGCGATACATGTTAGTTCGCACCACGCGATCGACGACAACGAAAATACTTGACGCGAAGAGAAATATATTCGGTATACATTCGCGACGGATACACGACGAGATTTTTAACGCGAAACTTTCACTTCCGCATCCGTGCGCGACGTGAACGAGAACTGCTCTGTGCAACTGTATAATTCAAAACATGAAAAGTTGATAACATCAGACTATTGCCAATTCGCGCGAAAAGGAATATATTCAAGAAGATCGATTATCGCGCAGGCGCGGCGTTACACGTCGCACTAGAAGCGGCATGTGCAAACGCGATCAGAAATGCTTTATATTCCCACTTGGCTTTATCGATCACTTTTCCGCCCTAGAAAATAAAGTTATGTGATCGAAAAAGGTCTGAATTTGCACACGTATCGGAGTATATCAGACGCGCATATTTCGTCTCTAAATATTTGCATTTTATGACTGTTGATGATTCGAAAAATGACAAAAATGATATGTGACTTATTTAATATTTAATATTAAATATCAGTAATCACATTTAATATTAAATATCAGTCATTTTCCCGTTCAGCAGACTCAATAGTTATTATTTATTGGTTCTAAAAGTAAGAACCAATCACATTCGATTGCTACCCAATTGTGAAATTGTGAGTCATAATGCACGAATATTTAGAGACGAAACATGCGTGTCGGATATACGCCGATATGTATGCAAATTCAGATGGGAAGGCATTTTTAATCGCGGGCGTACAAATAATGTATATTGTTTATATACAATTATAATTATATACAAATGTATATTTTGTTACGAGATACACATAATTTTTTATGAAAATAATATTTTTTAATCTCATATTTTCCTTGTATAATTCTTTTTTCGTGTATTGTCGCTTTTACATTTTCATTGTGTATAATATCATATATATATTTACTGACTTATTTTAATATAACCATATAAATTCATTCATATAAATTTATATTTGAATTAAAAGCTTTAAATGTTAAATTAATTTTTCTCGTGACTTTTATAAGTCTCACAATTAGACATACGTAGATTTCCATTTTAGCTATCTATTATCATTCAAATTAAAGTCCGCGCACAATCAGCAACATATGGCGACCGTGTAGCATCGAGATCAAAGATGCCGACACTGAGTGAACCTACTGCTCTTATTTATACTGTGCCGCCACTCTCTCGAGACCTCGAGAGACGCGCGATGATCGCACGAGTGTTCGTTGCTCTGTTCCTCGTCGCCGTGTGGTTGCCGGCATTCGGTGACACGGCCTCCGCACACATTCACACGCATCAGCACAACAAGATTGACAGCAATGAGAGGACGGAGGACGGGGCCTTCAGCCCCCGCGATGCCGACCACTACGCGGAGGGCGAGCATCATCAGGAGTTCGATCACGAAGCCATCCTAGGTACGGGGCGATTACATTTTTTGGTGTTTATATTTTTTTTCTCGTTTACTTTAAATTCTCTCATTAAGATCTTAAAGCTCCAAACTGTATCTATACGATCTAATACGATTTCATTTTGTTACTCATTTTATGAAAAGTTAATTTCTTTAAAAGGCTAAAAAAAGTTATTATACATTGGTGATATGCATAGAATTATATTCATCCTTCAAATCAAATTTACTCAGTATATTTTATTCTGAATATTTTATTTTCTGTTTAAAGGAAGTGTAAAAGAAGCAGAAGAATTTGATAAACTTCCAATAGAAGAGTCCAAGAGGAGATTAGGAATTTTACTGACTAAGATGGATCTGAATAATGATAAATATATAGAGAGAAATGAACTAAAAGCCTGGATCTTGCGTTCGTTTGGGTAGTATTATTTAAGTCAGTAATCTCATCAACTTATTGAAAGATCTAAATTAATAAATTTGGCAAACAGCATGCTGTCTGCAGAAGAATCTCAAGATCGCTTGGACGAGGCTGATACAGACGAAGATGGCAAAGTGAGCTGGGATGAAATCCTGCAGGATACTTATGGCAGCGATCCTGAAGATTTGGCTCTTGATGATAAGTTAATCCAAGATGATAAAGAGACGTTTGAAGCTGCAGATTTAAACAAAGATGGTTATTTGGATTCAGAGGAATTTAAAGCTTATACACATCCTGAGGAAACACCTAGAATGTTCTCATTGTTGTTGAAGCAAGCTTTGGAAGACAAAGACACAGATAAAGATGGATACATTAATTTTCAGGAATTTATCGGTGATAGAGCTAAGTCCAAGGATAAAGAATGGTTACTATCAGAAAAGGATAAATTTGATTATGAACATGATAAAAACAAAGATGGTAGACTCGATTCGGATGAAATTCTTTCTTGGCTTGTCCCAAGTAATGAGTGAGTATACTATAACACACACAACATTTAAAAATCTTATTACAATATGCAAATTTTCAAATTAATCTTATTGATTGCATATATTTTATTACTTCAAATAATCTCAAATATAATAATAGATTCAATTTGTAACAGATGTAATAAAGTAAAAAAATTTCTCTATTTGTACTTATATTTTATAACAATTTATATTGTAATATTATAATAGATTTTCATTATTTTCATATGTATTGAAGATCGTGTAAACTTTATTAAAATTTTATGAGAATAAATTTTTTATGGCAAAAAATTTAGTCAAATTTGTAAACTTTATCTTGTAAATATCCGTAATAATGGAAAATGTCACTGTTTTTTATATCTCCTTATCAATATTTATTTCAGAGAAATAGCAAGCGACGAAGTGGATCATTTATTCGCAGGTTCTGATGATGATCATGATAATAGATTATCGTTCGAAGAAATATTGGACCATCACGATGCTTTTGTTGGTAGCGAAACTACAGATTATGGTGACCATTTACAGGATATCGAACGTTTCACCGACGAACTTTGAAAGTCATTAATCGATCGAGTTGATAATACGCATATTATCTTCTGTAATACTCAGAGACATTTATTTCAAACTAAAAATATTTTTAATACACTGCTCAAAACGACAATGGAATTATGTCTTTAAGAAAGCCTGTAAATAAAATCTTCAAATTTTAAACCAGCATTTGAAAAAACTATTGTATTTAAACAAGAGTACTTACTACAAGATGTATGTTAAATCGTGCATTAAGAGAAATATTCATGATCTAAAATCTACTAGAACCTTATACACATATTTATTTAAAAAATATTCCACTAATCGTTTTAAGCAGTATATTTCTCAATGCATCTCCTTTCACCCTTTATCTATTTCATTTTACTTCTTTATGCAACCATTAGAACAAATTTATATTAATAACACAAGACACGTACATAAGATTAATGAAACTTGCTCATCGTATATATTTACGATGATTCACAGATAGTATAGCATTACATGAACCATCGTCTTCCAATTTCTACCAAACATGAGTGCCATACTAGAGAATGCAGAGAGAGAAAATAGATTAGAACAACAAAAGAATCATATTTCTTATTGCAAATGCATAGAATTAAGTTTAAATCTCTCATCAACATTATATTATGTTATATATGTTATTATTTATTATATATATATGTCTATTGCATGTAAAGCACAATTTGCTTGAATTAGCAAGAAATTAATGTAATTTTCATAGTTAATATTAAACGAGTCTTATTTCTTGGCACTTCTTTGAATATATGCATTACAAAATATAAATCTTTGCCGAGTGATTTCCGTGATCGATTTTTAATAAAATATTTTAATTTTAATTCCATACGTTTGTCTTTATTAAATTCCCAAAGATGCATGATGGATAGTTTTCTATAACTGAAATATATTGTACACGCATTACATATATATATATATATGTATGTGTGTGTGTGTATAAATGAGGTGTATGATATTTATATATATATGTGTATGTATATAGGAAATTGATTGATGCAGAGAGCATTACTTGTCATTTGTCATATTGTTATATCGGCTGCGATCGGAAAGACGCTAGAAATGCTTCGAAGCGTTTAATTGACCAATCAGGGCAAAGAGAGTAAAGATTTCTTTATTCTGATTGGTTAATGCAATGCTTCGAAGCATCTCTAGCGTCTTCTCGACCACCGTCATATCGCGCGTGAAATCGCGAGAATCAACGTGAATGCATGTTATGTTTGGTTTTTGTTTACATATACATTACGAAAGAAATAGCAAAAAAGATTGACATTATTACCATAATAAAGAATCGTTTTGATTACAAAATAAAATGCCATATGCTAATCAACCGTCCGTTCATATTTCGGATTTAACTGAAGAAAATGTTAAATTTCAAGTAGAAGATACTGAATTGAGGTGAGGTAGATGAGGTTAGATAAATATTTAAATGTAAAGAAATGTAGCTTCAATTAATTTATAATTTATGTTTCTATTTCAGTGTTGCAAATAGCATGAGACGTGTTTTCATCGCCGAGACTCCGACTATGGCCATCGATTGGATACAATTGGAAGCTAATTCTACTGTTTTGAGCGATGAATTCTTGGCACATCGGATTGGGATGATACCGTTAATCAGTGATGATGTATGTAGACACATTTGGCACATATGTCAATGATCTTGTTTGTCAAAAACTAAAAAGATTTTTTCTCTACAAGTCTTAATATTTTTTAAGTTTTAAGCCATGATTAAAAAGACAAATTAAACACTATAATAGATCATGTATTTGCAATGCAAATAAGTGTATAATAAAACTATTTCTCAATTTTCACGAATAAGATCATTACTAAGTAACTTAATTCATACAGTTTAATTGACAGAGAATGATTTCTTTGTTTAGGTGGTTGACAGGATACAATTCACAAGAGATTGTCAATGCATGGATTTCTGTCCAGAATGCAGTGTTGAATTCACACTTGATGTTAAATGCACTGAAGACCAAACCAGACATGTAACTACTGCAGATTTTAAATCCAGTGATCCTAGAGTATTACCTGTCACATCCAGGCACAGGGAAGACGATGCAAGCGAATATGGAGAGACTGATGGTTTGTATCTTTTCATGTGCTAACAATTATTTTATACTTAGCTAATAAAAAAAAGAATACAATTATCATAAGTGAAATCTTTCAGAAATATTAATAGTGAAGTTAAGAAAGGGGCAAGAGTTGAAACTTAGAGCATATGCAAAGAAAGGTTTTGGAAAGGAGCACGCCAAGTGGAATCCAACTGCTGGTGTAAGTTTTGAATATGATCCGGATAATGCTATGAGACACACTTTGTATCCTAAACCAGACGAATGGCCCAAATCAGAATACACTGAATTAGAAGAAGACCAATGTGAGTATAAAACATTCACCTGTAACCATTTAATGTTATGCTACAGCTGATTGTATATATCACAATGTACATTTTAGATGAAGCGCCATTTAATTGGGAAGCCAAACCAAACAAATATTACTTCAACGTGGAAAGCAGTGGTGCATTAAAACCTGAAAATATCGTTATGATGGGGATCGCGGCGTTAAAAAACAAATTATCGAATCTGCAGACGCAATTAAGCCATGAAGTGCAAAGCGATGCATTAAGTATTCATCATTAAATAAATTTTGATCTTAGATATGTAAAACTAAACATCTTATTTCATATTTTACAAAATAAATATTTTAAAAATAAAGCAAAGAAATTGCAATGTATTATATTATTTCATATTGGTTTTAATGTAATAATTTCGTAAAAGTCATGTAAGCAATGTAACTTCTAATATTTCATTCGCCGCACAAGTTTGTCGGATCCGCTGTGATTGGCTATATTAGAATAAAGAATTTTGATAGCAACCAATCAATATATTCAACATAGTTACGCTATGTTGTTACCATCTCCTTGAATAAAACGCCAATATATTTTGACCAATAAGATTTTATGCTCATTAATGGTGTCAACAACATGGTGTACTCTAACATTAATTATAGAGTGATTGAACTGTCTCCAATGATTTCTTATTCAATGTCTTAAGCCCGTATCAGACTATAGCGGGGAGCACACACTTTTGCATAAGCGCATAATCATAAGCATGAGGAAATTGATTGGTCCATTTCCTTATGCATAAAGAAATTGACCAATCAAATTCCTTATGCTTATGATTATGCGCTTATGCAAAAGTGTGTGCTCCCCGCTTATGCATTAAAGATTAAAGATTAAAATTTGATTAATCAAAAGAAATTTTAAGTTCTTTTGTTTTGATTAGTCAAATTCCAACCTATAATTTTCAATCTTCACTGTGTAGTAGTGTGTAGATATTCGATGCACGAATGCGTAAAGCCCTACGCACAATAGAGAAAATATTAAGAATAGGAATAAATATTAGGATAAGAGCAATTTGAAATTATTTTACTTCAAACAAAGGAACTGAATGAATTAACATATAATGAATTAAAAATTAGGAATAATTAATCAATTCCATTCCCTTGTTTGAAGTAAAATAATTCCAAATTGCTCTTTCTAATATTTGATATTTATATCTATTCCTAATATTTTCTTTATTGTGCATAGGACCTAACTGGGTCTGATCTTTAGTTGAATTGAGTTGAACTGGCTGTTGGCTGCACTAGTTCAGAGTTTATCTTTCTCTTTTCAACGTGGAGAGAAAAAGATAAACTCTGAACTAGTGGTGCAGCCAGTTCAGCTCAATTCAGCTATAAAGAACAAAGCCATTGCGAGTATATTCTCAAGCATTCTAGCATTTCTAGTCATTCCCGGCGCCGAGGCCGAATGAAGCCTTGTGTACATACATACGTCTTCGCGATTTACACCATGTTTAACATGCGGCGATTTTATTGCGGACTCTGATCCGATTGTGATATTCGCGATATAATCTATCAATATTTCTTCTATCAATCTCATTGATAATTCGGCGAAAGTTTCCGCTATTATTTTCCTCGCTCTTTTCTTCATAAATTTGCAAAACAAAAAATAAAAGAGAAAGTCGATACAATGGTGAAATATTATGAAAACATCACAATCTTTCATTTCGATTGGACTCAAGTCGTTCGAGGATTCTTTCAAAGGTATCCAAATCCACATAGGTACGTAAACATACCGTTACATCATATTATTCTTTCAAACATTACATAACACTAAGTATATATCAGTGTACAAAGAACTTTTATATATCATTTGCAGTTCGCACGTTCTCACCGAGGATACAATCTCCAGAGAAATTAGAAATGGAAAGCTTTATTCCAAACGATTATTGACAAAAACCAATAGGGTACCCAAATGGGGAGAAAGATTTATCAGCAAAAATATTGTCAAAATTGTAGAGGAAAGCATTGTTGATCCAGAAGCAAAAACTTTGACTACTTACACAAGAAATTTGGGTTACACCAAAGTTATGGTAGGCTAATTCAAATCAATAACAGAAAAAGAAATATGATCAAGGGTTTTTCTTTCCAAAAAAAATTCTATTTTTAAAAAGATTTGCACACATTTAATTTAATAAATTAAATTAATCAATTTCTAAATTACAAGTTTTACTTTGATTAATCATTGTAAATTATTGTAAATTGATAAAATTATTGTAAATTATATTGTTGAGATAGAAACAGAAATATTCAGGATTAAAAAGAAGGCACTATATATGTTTCTAACAATTGTGTTTTCTTCCAGAGCATTGTTGAAAAAGTAGTTTATCAGACCTCTGATGAAAATCCAGAATGGACAGTTGCAAAGAGATCGGCATGGATTGACAGTCAAGTCTTTGGTTTCAGCAGGGCAATTCAAGCATTTGGATTAGATCGATTTAAGAAAAACTGTACCAAGATGTCGGAAGGCTTTAATTATGTCCTTACAAATATGTTTCCTCATACAGCTCAATTTCTAAATCCGAAACTTTCTCAGACGAGTTTTTCTATGCAAGCTGGCCGTAGCACCATGGACGACAATCTCACGACAAAGCCGAGTCTCGCGGAAGATTTGCAGCACTCTCTACAGGGTAAAGCAGAAAAAATGAAAGACGCTGCTAAAAAAGCGACAGATTTGGCAAAACAAAAGGCAAGACCAATATATGCAGCTTGTCAATCAAACCAGTCATAAATCTTTGTGTACTTTGCGAAATGCAATCACCGTGTCGGTGAATGTAAATAATATCGCTTAGCGATAGAAATGTTCACCAATAATACTATATTATTGTGATGTATCTTAAGTGAAACAATGATATAACTTTAACAATTAATCCGAGATTGCAATAATTGTATATTACTCAAATAATACATGATTCGATGACAATTAAGGTAAAAGATTAGGAAATTGGTATTAAACAACAAAAGTTGAAGTTTAAAGTTTATATAATTTACTGAACTTGAAAACACAAGGTTTTCAGAGTCATAGCTGTTACATGCGTAAAATTTAAGAGATATAAAAAATTTTTAGATGTGTACATCTTATCATTCCTTTTAACTGCCAAATTGTTAATAGTGAGCTATCAGATATAATATATATATGTTTGAATATGTATTAAATTATATAATTCTCTTTTTACACACAAAAGACTATTTTCTGGTTCGTTAATAATTTGCGAACAATGTATTTCTTTACGTAAAATATTTAGTAAAAAAGCATTTTGAGATGTTCAATCAATATATATATATATGTATGTATGTATGTTATGTATGTAGTGTTTATTTGTGTGTGTATGTATCCCATAAATATCTGTACAAACTTGCAATTGATAATTATATAAAGCAGAGCATTTTGTATTAATAGTTATTAATATATCAATGGAAGCAATTATAAACACATTCAAAGGAATAATTTTATATATTTTTTTTTCTTTTTAATTAATATTAAATATTTTATAAATTTTTTGTGTGGATAGATGTATGTGCGTTAATGCGGAGTTATAGTGTATTGATCAATGCAAGTAAAAGAGTTGATTTCACTTACAAGTTCATCTTGTGGATGTACTCATTTATCATAGTTTCAAGATATATTTTGTTGTGCTATATATATATATTTAAGTGCTTTTTATCATAGAATATGCTCATTTATTGTAAAAAATCACATTATTTTTAATGTTTAGATTATTGTTAACTCATTTTTACACATGTACATTTTTCAACGAGTTAATACAATTAATAATAATTGCTATTGATCATTTTGGCAATCAAATGAAATATTCGAAGTTTTATGAATGATATTTTCCTGTTCTTATTAGGTAAAATGTATAAAATAATTAAATTAGATTGTATTAGAGAGATTTGAACAGATTTAAATGTATTCAATGTAAAAAGCATTATTTAGTACTTTTTACAATTTATTTACAGCGATAAACAATGCTAATAAGATTACTATATATAGATATATATGTTCAAAATATTATAATATCTAATATGTATGTATATCAATATATACACTTTACATATTTTGTTTACACATTCACAACATTTGAATATGCAATGTAATATATATGTCGCAAAGTTACCAAAATAATAAGCTGACAATTAAAAACAATTTTTAAAAATGTTTCTATTTTTATCTAAAAATATATGAACGCATAATTAAAAATTGAATAAAAAATTTATATTATAGTGAAACATTTACAATACTTTGGATTTAAAATATCTCTTAATTGTTAGCCAATGATTTCATAGTATTAGTAACATCTACATACAATTGACCGAAATTAATTTTATTCGATTATATATTGTGACTAAAATTTTTTAATTATGCATGTTAGGTGAGAATGTTATTCGCATTTCTCAGCTGTAATTCCGGGATCCGAGATATGTAACATGTGCCCCGAAAAAATATGTCCATAAGACCGATAAGGCAGAACTCTCCTAACCATAAGAGCCACGATTTCGGATTTTTATTAAAGATATTTATCGACTTACGATATTTATCACGATAAGATTCATTTTCTATATTGTACGGTGTTATCGAGCTGCAACAAAAATATATTGTTGATGATTGTTGTACAATATTGTAACCAATAATACGTCATTTTTCAATTCTCCGAAGTGTTGTGTATAATGTTGTATAGTTATGTATATAAATGACACAAATTAGTAGTTGTTAAAGTAATTTATGTTTTCCAAGATAATAAATTTATATTTTATGTAATACGTGTTGAATATATATATATATGAAATGATGGCCTCATTACATATAAATCACACAGTTAGTGATACTACAACAAAGTTTTTTTCGATAGTTGAAAGATTGCTGTCATTAACTAGTTCAAAGCTCAGTGACAAAAAACAAATCAATGCATGCTTAAATAATCTTAACGAATTAGATTACAGATGCCTCAATATTATAAATAATGATGTGAGAAACATTCATATTTGGTGACAAAATATTTTATATTAATAATGTTATATGATTATATCAAGTTATATTTTATTATCAATTTATACAACAAAATTAATCTATTTCTAGGCGGTATTATTGTTAGTCAATCAGCTTTGTGTAACTATTCTACCTACAGAAACATCCTTAATCCAAAGTGCTTGTAAATTTTTATACAATCTAACTCAAAGTAATATCAAGTTGCATGGCCGGACATTTGCGACTTGTAAAAGATGGATTTTAGAGGCATTAGAATTTTCTGAATCACTGGCACAAGTTGATGTGTTAATTGCTATAAAAAGCTTTTTACACGCTGGATATTTTGATGACATCAATCATGTTAGTATATAGTCTTTATATCTTTCTGTAACAAACATTATATATATTAAACTAAATTTTTTTATTATATCATCAAAATTAAATATTGCTTTATGTTTCAGTATGCACGTCTGTTACTCAGGGATAAGGGCTTATTAATGAAACATTTAAATTCTCCATGTAATGCATGGTCTGAAATCAATTTCTATGCACTTGGGTGTTTAGAAGAAATTGTAAACAAAAATAACAGTAATCATATATCGGAGGAATTTATATATTTGATAAAAGATATCATTTTTAAAAATCTATTGCTGTTACCATACAGCAATGATGATAAGCTTTATTATAGTAAAGTATGTACTGTATCTTATATATCATATATATAAAATATTTGTGTTATCTTACATAGTTATATATTTGCAGATCATACACTTGTGTTTGCATATTTTGCATTGTATAATTTTGGAAAAATTGATTCCTAATTCCTCTGATATTGTTGGAGAGATATTAGGAGTAGTGCAAGCGTTCTTATTTCATGGTATTAAAGGATACACAGTCATAAAGCCACAATTACTTCGTCCTGCAGCAATGAATCTTCCAGAACGCATTCATGTGGTTCCAAAATGTAAGAATCTTAAAAATTACAAAGCAAAGCCGAAGAAGACATCTGCCAAGAAGACTGCATCCGATACAGAAAATAGTACTCCTCTAGAACATACTGGAATCTCCAAATATTCCAGCGATTCAGATACATCGGATACAGAATTTAATAATACCGTCCATATAGATTCCAAAGTAAGATTGGGAGCTGTGCGTTTATTACAGACTCTCATAGAAATTAGTCAGAGTAGAGAAATTTTTGGGTACTGGCCACAAATTGTAGCAACTGGTTCACGAAACGACGCACGAGTATTAACGAGAAGCATATTGGTGGAACCTATATCTAAAGTTAGACAAAATGTGTTAAGTATATTAACTGAATTGTTGATAGGTGCTAGACCATTCTTGATACACGCAGAAGATACCGATCATACTTCTTTCATCACATTTTTCGGCACAGTATGTTTAATGGTCAAAGAACTGCATTTTACATTATCGTTAATTCTGCTTGCTGAGAAAAACGTGACTGTGTTAACGCACACATTAAAATGCACAGCAGCCCTTGTACAGGGCACACCATATGAACGGTTAAAATCGGGTTTGGCTACCAAGTTAGCAAGGAATTGTAGACCACACATATTTCATAAAGGTATATATCTCGTGCTGTTATATATAATTTTTAATCTATTATTATTATCATCATAGCTTAATTATTTGCATAGATCCGACTGTACGAGTTGCAGCACTGTCCATTTTTGAAGCATTTGCTTCCAGTGAACCTATCACTCAGGAAATATTAAGCATATTAGCTAAGCAATCTATAGGTAGTATAGAATTAGGAAGATTACAACTTGATACTGGTTCAATTAGTGATGTTGGAACAGAAGAAGAAGAAATAGATATCGGAGATGTCAATAATTCAATAGACAGTTGTAACGAAATTAAAACATCAAAAGATGAAAGCATCTGTTTACTGATTCGCGTTTGCTTAGAAAATATATCTAATAAGGTATGTAAAATCTATATTTAAAAAATGAAGCTTTGTAACTTGTAAAACAGTTATTAGTCAAATTGGAAGTTAATATTGTTTGTTTTATTTTAGACGATTAGTACACCCGTACGACTTCAATCTTTGAAACTTATGGGAAGACTGGCATTTAACACAGGAAGCCTCATATTTCCTCATTTAGAAAAAGTGACTACAATCTTAATCTCAGTTATGGAGGAATCAGAAAGCCAAGTGATATTGCATGCGTGTCGGGTTTTAGAAATTATGTCCAGTTGTCTTGCAAATATTGAGACTTATCATAGTGATGGTATATTATTTTGGAACATTATATTTGAATCTATGATATCACTCGCACAGACATCGCAGACTATATTGCGAGAAGCTGCTTGCGATTGTCTAGGTAGCATAAATGGAAATGTATTTACACAGTTATCGGTAAGAGAGCTAATAAAAAGAATATAATTATATAAATTTTTATTTTATCTTTTTTCACGAAGCAATTACTTACCAAACATATTTGCTATCAAGAATAATATTTTATTAATAAATATTTTGTTTATATATTTCAGTGTTATTCTAAAATATTATATCTCAGACATTATTTTTGTATATATTTTCAGAGGCAAAGAACTATATTAATAATTACAATACTATTTGGAGCAGTTCGCGATGAAGAGAGTGCTGTGAGAGCAGCCGGCTTACGTGCATTAGGAATGTTGGTTACTTTGTCGGCATTGGATGACGATACTGGGTTTCTTATGGATTTGGCCGATATAGTTTGTCTGGCTCTTGATGACAAAAACCTCGGTGTTCGCGTGAAGAGTGCTTGGGCATTGGCAAACTTGTGTGACTGTCTTTCCAGACAAAAGTCTGTCGTTTATACTTTTTTCATTCGTTTGATATATATTATGTTCTTAATGACATATATTTTTTACCTATATAAATATATTTTTTCAGACAGCATGAAGAGATAGAACCATTTTCTTTGGAAGTGTTACTACCCAAATTGTACCATGTAAGCGTCAAGGCTGCAAAAGATAATGACAAAGTGAAATGTAACGCTGTTAGAGCAATTGGAAGTATTTTATATCTATGTCCACAAAAGCACATACTCTTCGATACAACATTAGGGTTAAATGCACTTATTAAATGTGCTGTCTTAGGAAACGATATGAAAGTAAGTTTCACTATAATTTTAAAGATATATGTTAATTCTCATTAACTCTAAATAACTTATATAATAAAATAATTAAATTTATTTGCAACTAGAATGAGATTACGTTGGTTCTATATCCTATGTGCCTATTCAAAATTTATGTAACAAAGAGAAAAAGTAGAAAAAGAATAATATAAGAATAATAAATATTTGTTGACTTATTTATTTAGTGAGCAGACATTTTTTTTTCTTTTTTATTTTGTAACTCTAGGTACGATGGAATGCTTGCCGAGCTTTAGGATTAGTTTTGAGCCATAACCCAGATGCAATATTGCCATCTTCTTGGAAAGTATGAATTTGAAAATGTGATATCTTTGACATACACACACATATAAATATACATTCAATAAATTTATTTGGTACAAGTATGAAATACTATATATTTTTATAGGATGAAGTATTTCCAGCACTTTCCACTTTGATATGTGATAGTCCTAACTTTAAAGTGCGTACCAATGCCGCATGGGCATTGTATTCATGTAGTTGTTACGGTAAATATACTGTAATGTTGTGGAAAAGTATTGTATTGGCATTTGAAAATGCTCAACATGTCCCAAGCTACGTTGAATATCCGCATCGAGATGCACTGATTCAACAAGTAAGTGTACTTCTGCATGTAATATATTTCCTTGATACTTTATTATAAGTTATATATTAACATAAAATATATTTTTTTTAGTTGTGCCTTACTCTTAGTCGAGTTGCCGTCTGTACAGAAAAATCTGAACTGCAGAATCTTTGGCTCGAAATTGGCGACCATGTGGAGGAAATTTCTAATGTTATGAAGCAATTTCAGGTATAGTGTAACATAAAGTATATTCACAAAATAGATCAAGTGTGTGTATACATAAATATTGGAACGATGACATTTTGTGATTTTAATATTTCGAATATTTTTGTTATAGGAAACTGTCTTGCCTGAAAAATTGGGAGATCTAATCAAAGCAAAAGCTCAGTTGGAACATCTAATGAAGAATGCATGTTGTATCGAAGAACAACAAATTGCTCAATCTTTGGCAAATATATTTGAGAGAACTAATCGCTATGACAATTTAGATGCTATTACACCTACAATATAGATTTGTAAAGTATGAAAAAATAAAATAACTTTTTTCATGCAAATTTTTAATATTTATTTTTAAAAAACACAGCCATTTTTACCATTACATATATGAAAAAACATATATAACATACATGGAATTTGTATTATAACATAATACAGCAGGATATAATTCTAATCAATGATAGCCATTCAAACAAATGATTTGATTGCTAAATTTTGATTATACATATATATTTTAATCTAACAAGAGAAATACAACAAAAATAATGTATTTTGTCATGTGTCATCTTTACATTGAATTTTTTTATTCGTTTTCTCTTCAAAAGATACTTTTAATATATGTTCTTCATTTTCTTCTGTATCTAATGACGGTTTCTTTCCTGTTGCTGTTTTTACTTCGCTTTCATCTTTAGATATATTTATGGAACAACTCGTAATATTTTCTTCATTTGCTTCATTATTTTTTACAGTAACTTCAGTTTCTTCATTCTCATCTGAACTGTCCTCTTTGCTGCTTTTTTCATCCGTGATAGCATTATCTTCCTTTGTAATTTTTATTTGTTTTCTCTGCTTACGCCCCTGTTTCTTTTTCAATCTTTTAGCACGTTTTTTCGCCGTTGCTTCTTCTGCCAATCTTTTATTTTCTTCAAGCTTTTGATGATATTCATCATCCAAATGTTCCTGAATTATTACAAAACAAAAAGAAACGCCTTTAAACCAACAGGAAAAATTTTATAATTTTTTCATTCAAAATCCAATATATATATATA